GAAAACTTGTATTTTTAAAGTTTTCTAGCAGAAAACTTGTATTTAAAGTTTTCTATCTCATCTATTTCTCCTGTTTCCCCCAGAACATGGGGTGTGGGGATACCCCAGTCATCAGTTTCTCTGGGTCTGGATTGAAGGCACTTGAGACACTAATTCATGTTGGGACTCAGGTGTTTATTATTTCTTATCAGTAAAACAGTCTCACTGCTGTGAGTTCTGCAGCAAGGCACAAAATGGCCAACAGTCTCTTGTTCCAAGGTCTTTTAAGACTAAACTATCCAATTAAGAACTGGCATCTAGATTATTTTCCCTTTTAACCCAGTAACTCATCCCAAAGAGCCCCCAATGCAGACTTTTCTGCCCAATTACAAAATGCCACCCAAACCCATGAAGGAGGAAGAAGCAGCATGAAGAAGAAACCCAGGACAACACCCTGTGCCCTCCATCTTGCTGCCATCCACAACATATTAAAAATCCCAAAACCTAAATTTCTCACCAAGTGACAAACCTACACTACTCTCTATAATCTATTTCACACTTCTGTGTCTATCTTGAAGTTTAGGAAACTTTCTCCATGAATGAGGGTCAGAGTCAGTGCTGCCCTGGGGGTCAGGGCACCCCAGAGCAGACAGAGAAATATTCCCAGTGCCCTGGGTTTCCACAATAGGGGAATATAGATATTTCCCAATGAACATAAGAAGGATACATTTATATAAAATGTGCCTTTTCTCCTTTGGACATGCCATTGACACAGGCTCTTATATATTTAAATAAGTGGAAATTAGAAGTGTATGTGGATTAAAACTGAAAGAAGTTTTAATTTCAGATCTGACCTTTGGAAGAGCCAATGAGCATTGCCTCTGAGGCACAATCTAAAATTGAGGAAATACCAAAGTTGACAAAATTAATAAAGGAAGGAAATGCTGATATTAGGGAATCTCTTAGTTAACCCAGAAATATTATACAGCCTCTCCCCACTGCTTACACAGCAGTGTCTGGAAATACATTTTCAACAATAATACAGACATTAGCAGTGGAAAAGCATTTGTCACACAAACAGTTCCTTCAACAATGAAAACTTCCAACTGGGAACCAACTTTTTATGTTAGTTTCTACAGAGTATCTTGGTGAAACTCTATGTTCAGTATTTTCTGTTAAGAAATCTTCAAACTCGTCTGTGCATTAATGTCACAGACCTATTTTATGAAAAATCCCTTTGCCAGGAGTTTTTCTCCTGAGAAGCTGAGAGGCCTCAGAAATGAAATGTAAACAATGATTATCTGCTGCTGTGGAATGCAATCTGTGATTTGTGTCATGTGGTTGTTTTTAATTAATGGCCAATCACAGTCCAGCTGTCTTGGACTCTCAGTCAGTCACAAGATTTTATTATCATTCCTTTCTTTTCTTTGCTAGCCTTCTGATGAAATCCTTTCTTCTATTCTTTCAGTATAGTTTTAATATAGCATTTTATTTTAATAATATATATATATCATAAAATAATAAATCAGCCTTCTGAAACATAAAGTCAAGATTCTCATCTCTTCCCTGGTCCTGGGACCCCCGAGAACACCACCACACATTAAATAGTAGAACAGTAGTACAGATATTAGAGTGAGTTTCATGCTGTTTGACATTTGTAATGGCCTTTGCCACCTGGCACCACTGTACCCCAGCACCTGTAACTTCACTCACCTTCCTTCAGTTCTTTGGCTGCCTCCTGCTGTTAGGAAATAAATTGCACATATAAATAAGTCGTACAGCCTTCTCTCCCACCCCTGTTTCCAGGTTGGGATCAACTACCAGCCCCCTACAGTTGTTCCTGGAGGAGACCTGGCCCAGGTGCAGCGGGCAGTCTGCATGCTGAGCAACACCACGGCCATTGCCGAGGCCTGGGCAAGGCTGGACCACAAGTTTGACCTGATGTACGCCAAGAGAGCCTTTGTGCACTGGTACGTGGGAGAAGGCATGGAGGAGGGAGAGTTTGCAGAGGCCAGGGAGGACCTGGCTGCCCTGGAAAAGGACTATGAAGAAGTGGGAACTGACTCATTCGAAGAAGAGAATGATGGGGAGTAATTAAAAAACACATTTTGTCTCTCTATCACTGTATGGCATGTGTCAACAATTAGGTCAGCTTTTTTGTACGTTGTAAACATAAATTTAGGAGAGGACATTTTTTATTGCATAAATAACAGGCAAATTATCCTGTAAGATATCATCAGCTGTAGTCTGGGGTCACTGGGGCACACTAGGGAGGGACTGGGGGCACTGGGATGGGACTGGGAAGATGAAATCCGAAAGAGAAAGAAAAAGGATCTTCCCTGTGCTGCCCCACCTGCTCAGCTGTGCTGCTGCCCTCTCCTGCACTGCTCTGGGGCACAGGGATTGTCCCTTGGCACACCTGAGCAATGCCCCAGGAGCACCCAGGTGTTCCCCCTGCCCTGCAAATGCTGTCCCTGCTGTCCTTTGGGAGATTCCTGGGGATCACCCCCTCCAGCAGGTACAGGAACCCCCCTGAAAGGTACAGAACCCAGGAACCCCCCTGAAAGCAGCCCTGAGCAGGGCCGGGCCCTCCTCATCCTCACTGACCACACCTGGAGCTGTCCCAATCCTCCTCATCCTCACTGAGCACACCTGGGGCTGCCCTGACCATCCTCATCCTCACTGACCACACCTGGAGCTGTCCCAATCCTCCTCATCCTCACTGACCACACCTGGGGCTGTCCTGACCCTCCTCATCCTCACTGACCACCCCGGGGCTGCCCTGGACACGGATTTCCGTGGGGGTTTCACTGAATGCCGCTCCGAGCCTCACTCACCAAGCCAAGCAAACCTCGCTGCTTTTCACATTAAACCTGAGGCTGCCTGGGATGAAGGAAACCAGAACCCACCGGGATTGCAGCATCCCAAAGTTACGGGGATGGGCCGGGATGGGGCACCGCGGAAAACCCGGACTGGATTTACCCGGAATACGGAATGGGAGAAAACCCGGACTGGATTTTTTCCCCAGAATACAGAATGGGTAAAAAACCCGGACTGGATTTTCCTGGAATACGGAATGGGGGGAAAACCCGGACGGGATTTTTTTTCCCTGGAATATGGAATGGGGAAAACCCGGACTGGATTTTTTTTTTCCTGGAATATGGAATGGGGAAAACCCTGACTGGATTTACCTGAAATACAGAATGAGGGAAAACCCGGACTGGATTTTTTCTCCCAATATGGGAATAAATATGGAATGGGGGAAAAATCTGGACAGGATTTCTCCCAGAATATGGAATGGGGAAAAACCTGGACTGGATTTTTTCCTGGAATACGGAATGGGGGAAAATGCAGATTGGATCTTCCCAGAATATGGAATGGGGAAACCTGGACTGGATTTTCCCAGAATATGGAGTGGGGGGAAACAGGGTTTAATCCCAGTCTTCTGTACAGAGGTGTACGGCAGAAACCATGTTCCTAAACCAAGAAACCATGTTCCTAAACCAAGAAAACCAAATTGTTCCAGCACTGCACGCTGCTCAAACACTCAACCACGGCTGGAACAGCCCAGGTGCTGTAAGAGACTGGCTGTTGGTGCTCATGGCTTGAACAACCACTGGGTGCTGTGCAGAAGGATGTGCACACCTGAGGCTTCAGCCTGGGTTTCCAGATAAAGAGGGGGCTGATAAGAGGCAATCCTGCGAGGTGGGATAAGTCCTTGTCATGCCTCCCTTACACAATGACTCAGCTGTGAAAACTCATCTCTAAAGTACTGGGACATTCACATCTCAGATGAGGCAATTCATGTTGGCTGATTGGACATAACACTGGATGTGGAATTCTTAACTTCCCAAAGGCTTTTTAGATCTCATTCTATCACCATTACGATTTATTTCATTTGTAAGGACACTGAGTGATCAGGAGCCCTGCTCTTGAAGCAGTCAATGCACTGTTTGGAGCTATTTGGACATTAGGAGTGCCATGGCAATTATCAGCAGCTGGCAGCTTTTGTCCAAGGGGCAGTGTGTTTGGACACTCAAACACTGCTACCTTTCAGTTTGTTTCCTTTCATCTGAGCCCATTTTCTGTGCTCAGACTTCTGCCTGCTGCCTGCTTTGGAAGGGCCATGTCATGACTGAGCTCTGCAGGCAAAGCTTAAAACATTCTTAAGACATAATACTCCTCCTAACTGAGTGCCCAGGCTCTCACAGGGGTCAGTACCAAAAGCTGTTTCAACTGCACGCTGCTTTACCAACTTCCACCTGGCAGATCTAGCTCCTGTTTAACCTCCAGTGTCCTTGTGCACTTTGCTCAGGTGGTTTCGTTCTCTCTGGGCAATTATGGCTTAGAGATTCTCCTCTCTCCCTTCCTTCCTTCCTTCTATCGGGCAGTCACCACACGAGCCAGTAATAGAAAGGGAACATCACTAAATTTAAACTGTTGCTGAGAGCCTCTGCCACAAGCCAAGACACTGAGTTATTTGTGAAACTGAGCCCTTCTGCTCAGAAGTCCCTACAGATACCCACATCCCCTCTGTGACGATTCAGGAGAGTTTTCACTGTCCCTGTGCCTCGACTGAAGACCGGCTAAGAACTGAAGAGTTGTCCTGGCTCTGACAGAGCCAGGCAGTGTGAGCAGAGGGTTTGCAGCTGGATCCACAAGGACAGCTCTGATGGCTTCCAGATAACCCCTGTGAAATCCTCCCGTGTGTCTCTCCTCCCCACGGCTCAGTGGGGCTGCCCAGAGGTCCCTGACACGGGGCTGGGAGTGCAGCTGTGTGCGGACAGTTCCGCCTCACAGCGCTTCCCCCAGCGATTTCCATTCAGGGACAAAGAACCGGCGATGAAAACCCTTCGGTCCCTTTCTCCCAGCCCCCTCCGTGCCGGGAGGCAGTGCAGGGCGGCTCCGAGTTTCACTTTCTGTGTCTGCTCGCGGCCGAGCGGGAAATGAAAACTGAGCGGCTCTGAAAGCGGGGCGGGCGCTGCCGCTGCCTGACGCGCCGGGGCCGCTCCTCTCCGCTCCGCCCGCTGCCCTGCCGAATCCCTCAGCCCTGCCGGCTCCTGCAGCCCTCCCGACCCCGCTGCCCTGCCGAATCCCGCATCCCTGCCGCTCCCCCGGATGCGCGGTCCCTCCGGTGCGGGCAGACGCGGTGCGCCGTGCGGGGCTGCCCCGTGTCAGCCGGCGAGCTGCGAGCGCGAATCGGTAAGAAAGCGTTTGGCTGCTTTGTGAGACTGGATGCTGGAGGCGCAGTGTGTCAGGAGGGGGGGAAATAGAGAGGGAATAATAACGGAGTGGTTTGGCAGCTAAGTGGGAAGTTCTCCTTGCAGTCGCATCCCGTTGAAGTGTGGAGGTGATGCGCTCTTAGGTGCTTCCTTCTCCTCGAGGGTGGTCGACACACTGAGTCTCTGCTGGAGCCAGCACCTCAGGGGGACCACAGAAACATAGAATAGTTTGGGTTGGAAGGGACTTTGAAATCATCTAGTTCCAGCCCCCGTGCTGAGGGCAGGGACACCTTCCACGAGAACAGATTGCCCAGAGCCCCATCCAGCCTGAGCGCCCTGCTGCAGCCACCGCCTGCCCTGGCATCACCGGCACCCCAGGATCCCCGGGGAGGAAAAGGAGATGGCAGGGAAGGGACAGGGGCTGGAATGGGAGCCCTTCTTGGGCAAAGGACATGGGGAGTGAAGGGACATTTTGGGGTTTGTCGTGAGAAGCCGGAGTCTTGGGCAGGTGGATGGAGACTGGAGCAGGGCAGGGAGAAAAGGAGAAGGGGCTGGGCTGGTTGAGGGAGAGGAGTGTGAGAGTTGTGATGATGATGATGGGCTGGAGGGTACGAGGAGGGTACCACTGCTCCCTGTTCTCTGCCCAGAGCTGTGCTAGCTGGGGCACTGAGGTACCAATCCTACCCCTGACCTGCAGAGGAAACCAAAGCAACGTTGCTGCTCCAGTGAGAGAGGAGGAATGGGGGGCAGGAGGAGAGCCTGCTGCTCAGTTCCTTGGCTCACTCACCTTGTTTTGTGTACCTGGGTAGGGAAAAGGAGGTCAAGTGCAAGTCTTAGGAAGGTTGTATTTCTGATAGCTGAAAGGAGCAGGTTCCAAGGGTTGGGAAGTTCTGTTTGTGTCCCTGCTCCCACAACAGGATCCCCAATATTGGTGACTGGGAGAAAATTTCATGGAACCAGAGACACAAATACTCCTGTATCCCCCTGCACCTTCCTGTCCCAAGATCCCTAAGATCTTTCTACCTTTTCCTCAAGCCACCCAAAGCTGTTCAGCCCCGTGCTCTCTCTTTAATCCCACTCTTAGTCCTCCCTTTCCTGTCAAAACCTGTGTCTTGCGTGTTTTCTTTATCCCCAGTCCATCCCTAGCTATGTTTAGCTACCTCTGCACTGCCTGCCCCTCTCCTTTCTGTCTCTTTCAACAGCATCCCCACTGCCTGAGAGCATCCCTGACCTCCTGGCTGATTCTACACCAGCTAAACTCCAGCTCAGCTTTCAGAAACCTGAATGTGCCATTAAATCATCTCCAGGAAAACAGGCAGTCTGTGTTCAGGCTCTATTTTGGCAAGAGAGAAATCAGATGAAATTCATCTTTTCCTGCGTAGCTGTTCTAATCACAATGTTTGGGTACAAAAAGTAATTCTCTTGAATCCGTCTTTGAGAGTTTGTTTTTTGGTTTTTTTCCCCCCCAAAAAACTTCTCAGCAAATTTGACAATATTTGGTGAATGTTAGTGTGTGACACTTAGGGCTTAAAAGAAATCTTCAAAAGTAAACAGTCAAAAGTATAGTTGGAAACAAATATACTTAAGCTTAAAGGTAATAATCAGGGAAAAAAGCCAATTTCTAGCTTTTCTGCCTGAATCTTCAGTAACTTTGATATCTGACACTATTAGGCATAGTTAACCCAAAACCATGCTTTTAAAGCAAAGATTTTCTTTTTTTAAATGAAAGACAGAACCAGGATTTTGCTTGTTTCCCTTTCTTAGGAGTTTTTCTTCATTCTTTCAAATGCTTGGCCTTAGGTTGATTTTATGTGCTGTTTAATATTTGTAGAATAATAATTTCTGAGCATTTTTTGGGTCTTCATCTCCCCTTCCCCGTGAATATCCACTTTTTTCTGATTCTGTCTCCATGTTGGCAGCGGGCTTTCAGAAAGTTTCATTTTTGCGTAGTTGCATTTAAACTTTTATCAGATTGCTTTGCTTGTGTGTTTTTATTTTGCTTTCGTAGCTGAGTCCCAGGACACTGACAAAGTAATGGTCTGTTGAATACTCCCTTAAAAATCAAGGCATTATAATGGTTCTCTTGCATGAACAGTTACTGTGCCTGCGATCACTTGAAGGAACAGAAAAAGAAACTGCTGTGTTGGTACTTAAATATCTTTCAAAATTACAGTCCAAAGTGCCACAGTAGCACTGTGACTCAGGGCTTAAAACCAACGCAGGGAGCCCAGTGCAGAAACCAAAGGTGCTCATCTGGCCAGAAGAGAAGGTGAAACTTGACCTTTTCAATACTTGGGCTATTTTTTTTATAAAATACTGCTTTTTCCGAAGCAGAGGAGTTTCACAACATCTACTTTTGGGCAATTTTAATCCTCTTATTTACCGAGTCTTCCCGAACAGGGATATGTGGAGTTCCTTGGCTGGATGGAGCTGTTTCTGTGGAACTGAAGGCTCGTTTATTTATTTATTTAGCCATGAGAGGAAGACAGGATGAGCAATTGTCGTCAGACTCTGTTTCTGTTCCCTTAGCAATAGCCTGCACACCTCGACACCCATGTTAATTCAAATATCCCTCCTGCTCTTGCAGTGATCTTGCTGATTTTATTGATATTCCAGGCTGGGCTGGATGGGGCCCTGAGTAACCTGATCTGGTGGGTGACATTCCCTGCCTGTGGCAGGGGGTTGGAATTAATTATCTTTAAGGTTCCTTTCCAACCCAAACCATTCAACGGTTTTTTGATTTCACCTCTTTCGCAATGGGAAGGTCTCCTCTGTCCTTGAGCAGTGCTGTTGATGGGACAAACGAGTGCACATCAAGAAAGAAGCAAGAAACCAGAGGTGGCACCAAGCGAGGTCATGGAGGCAGAAATTGAAGTACAGAATAAAAAAGAGGAAACCAAAGAGGTGAAGGCCAAAAACCAGAAGCTGACATCAGTCTTCGGTCTGGCAGACTTAAAAAATGGTAATAATGTTTTGCCCATTCTTCACTGTCATATTTTCTATTTCTCGTGCCTGCTGTTCCCTTCCCTGTCCATAGGCTTAATTTTCTCCTATTCCTTATCTCTTCACTGAGGAATATAATACAGATAATTCTCATTTTGCCTTGCCAAGTAACCATTCTGAGTTTTTTTAGAATGGAACACATGAAGATCTCAGAGCTTTTTCTGTATTTAAGCCCTCAAATTTTCCATTGCAGCCAAAAAGGCCTAGCTGCTGGCTGTGTCTCTCCCCAAACACAGCCAGCATTGCTGGATTTGCTAAATCATGGGCTAGGCACAGGTTATTCTCCTCATACAGGCAATCTTTGCCTCCTGTTGTTCTATTTTATGTTTAGATGTGTTATGAGAGGACTGAAAAAGAGGAACTGGGAGAAATCTGAGAATCATTAGCCAGGTTTACTTGAATTTTTTCTGCCAGTTGCCAAACAAAACCAAATATTACCTGCTTGAGCAACAGAAGAATAGATTGAACACTTTATCAGGTCCAACCAAGATGCTGAGCCCATAGACTGAATGGCTGAATGTGCACAAGAAGAGTTTGCCACTTTCAAATAACTTTCTTTTCTTGTGCCTATCCCCAGACCTCACTTGGTCTTTTTCTCCCCTACAGAAGCCATTGGACTGTACAACCTTGGGCAGAGCTGCTGTCTGAACTCCCTGCTCCAGGTGTTCCTCATGAACATCCACTTCACAAGGATACTCCGGAGGTACCTCCTGTTTCACCTCCCTGAGATGTTTCCATTGCTGCACTCCTGTCTCCACTCTTTCTTTCATATGGGATGTGCTTTTGAAGGCATCACTGCATCACTGAGGGGCCATCAGGATGCTTTTGGTTCCTCAGCAAGGTCTCTGCCTTGTGGTGCCCGTCATGCACTGACAGGCCCTGCAAAGGTAGAAGCTGCAGTGTTCAGACTTGTAAATCATCTCTGGTTTATGTCCTGAACTGAGTCTTTATGGCTTGTATCTCTCTCTTTTCCCTAACAGGATATATATAATTTTATATATAATGATTATATATATAGCAATTATATTTATTCAATATATTTATATATTATATACATATACTATATTATAATATATATAACAAATCTATATAATTTAAAATTCTAGATAATATATATTATATAGAATATAGAAACATATATTTTATTTACATAATAATTTATATAAATATATAATTATAAAATATATAATAAATTATATACTTTTCCAAGAAATAATTAATTATTAAATTAATAATTAATAAAACAAGAATTCATTAATAGATGATATAATTATATAAATTATAATTATGATTTATAAATTTATATGTTCATAAATTTATATTATATAAATATATAATTATGATATGTAAATTATTATATAAATATATAAAGATAATATATATTTCTATATTCTATATAATATTTTCTCTCTCTTTCTCTCTATATAAAACATATATATATATGTGTGTGTGTGTGTGTATATATAACATATGTATAATTTAATATATCTATAATATATACAATTTTATTCCAGGTTTACTCACCAGCCTTATAACAAAAGATGTGTCATGTGTAGCCACTATTCATTTTGTCACTTGAAGCATGTAAACACAAACATACCCTATTCCCTGGCCTCTGGGCCCTGACTGCCCTGGCTAGCCCCTGACAGAGGAGAGAATTGAGATGTTTTGTTGGCATATAGCTGAAATAGGAGCATTATGATATATGTGCCCAAGAAATTCTGAGGGCATGTTGAGAGCGAGGACATCAGTGAGTGGGAGGTAAAAAAGATCTGGAATTGGATGTAACTAATGTTGTTTCTAGAGACACAAAGCACTTGAGGTCCTGCTTGGCTTGTCTCCTATTCAGGAACAAGCCAACTTAAAATTTTGGCCTTTTACTTTGGAGCTGTCAGCCTGCACTGTGGGATTCCCTTTCTCTCTTCTTTTGCTGAAAACGTTCCCATTCTGGTTCCTCTTGAGCTGCTGTCTCTGTTGCTGACCTGTGCTCCTTCAGGTGTGATGTGTGACATTTCCCCACTGAACCTCTAATCACCTCTGGTGTTGCTTCTTCCCCTTCCAGGATCACAGTGCCACCCTCTCCTGCCCAGAGGAGGAGCAATGTCCCGTACCAGATGCTCCTGCTGCTGGAGAAGATGCAGAGTGGCAAGTGCAAAGCTGTTGGTCCCACAGAGCTGGCTTGCTGCCTTTCAGAGCACAGAGTGGAATGTAAGCAGCCCTGCCTCGTGCCCACCCCTGTCTGCATTTATCCAGCACTTACAAGCAGCCCAGACCCCAACATCTCCTCCAGAAATTCAGAAATGCCAGGAGTTAGGTTCACAGGGACACAGTGCTCCTTGTAGCTGCCTCCCAGCTGAGTGCAATGCTGTGTCTTACTGAAGTGAGACAAAAAAACCAACCCTGCTGGGTGTATTTGCTGATATCCAAAGGGTGGGAGGATTATCAGGCTGCTAGAAGATTCAGATGCTGTGCAGGGCAGAGAGGACAGTTCATTGTTTGATTTGTTTTGCTGTACTTTGTCATGATAGTGAAATAGCTGCTGTTACTTTTTAGAAGAAAGGGATAGTGTGGAAAAGAGAATGAGTTTGCACAAATCCCTCTCCTGCTCCTTCTTATAAGGGCAGAGAGAAGAATTTGCAGGCTAAATCTCTCAGCTGGCCAAAGTTCTAAAAGAGAGAGGTTTTTAATGCATGAGTGACCAGTGACAGTGGGATGCCAAGAGTCTGTCTGTGTGTGCAATACACAGGGTATAACCAAATGCCCTTATCTTTGTCATATAAAAGCCCAAACAGCAGTTTTCAGAACTGAAAAGGAAGGTGCCCTGACATTTATGAAAGAGGAACACAAGATAAACTCCATATCCCTGTTTGCATCATTTTTCTCCTGACTCTGAGTGGCTTTGCAGTCAGCCATCACTCTTCCAGTTATAGAGAGATAGGGATCAAGAGGTTTATCTTATCTGTGTGTGAGACATGTGGATAGGCCCTGCTGTCATTTTAATCTCAGCACCCAGAAGCATTTTAGCCTTCCTGGGGCATGAGGGGATGAGGAAAACAGGTCTGTGGAGTAATAAAGGTGAAAAAGAGAACAGAATCTTCCCTGTATTGTTTCTGAGGAGGATTCAAAGGGGACTGTTTACAAAGGCATGGTAGGACATGTGACATAGAAGTGATAAGATAAGGGGTCATGCCTTGAAATGTAAACCAGCTGGTTTAGATTGAATATTGGGAAGAAATTTTTTACTGTGGGAGTGGTGAGACACTGGTGAAGAATGTCCAGAAAAGCTGTGGGTGCTGTGTCACTTCAAGTGTTCAAGGCCAGATTGGAAGGTATTTGCTGGTCTAGTGGAAGGTGTCTTTGCCCATGGTGGAACCAGATGATGTTTAGGGCTCCTTCCAACCCAAACCATTCTCTGATGCTATGAAATGAACCCCCCAACTCAGTGAGTCATCTGAGCCCTCCTCTGGTAGGTATTGAGCAGCCTCTTGTCCCTGCATCTGGTGACACTGGGGGATACAAACATTCCTGTCTTCTCCCACTGCCTGCTCAGATCACGTGGAGAAATTGCAGCTGGTGCCCAGTCTAAGCTCTGTCTCTGCAGGGAGGAGCAAGGGACAAGAAACTGTGTCTAAGAGGGGACAAAATTCCCCCTTTGCCATTTGTGGGAAATCTGTGCTCGGTGCTGTTCATGATACTGAGTTGTGTTTTCTGCTTGTGCAGTGTTTGTGCAGCATGATGCTGCTCAGCTCTTTCTGACTCTCTGGAACTTGTTAAAGAAGCAGATGAAAAAGCCAGAGCTGGTAAGGATGGTGACTGAAATGAACCTTTGCCCCTTATCATGTGTGGTTTCCTCTGCTCCTTGAAGGATCCCATTCACTGGCAATTGTCCTAAGTTAAAGTTTTAAAATTATCTCTTCTTTCATTGCATCTTTCAAATGGGACAGAGAATCTTTGTTTCATAAGCTTTGACATTTTGAATCACAGTAAAGTTTTGCTCATTCTGCTTTCAGGGCATGCCGGTGTCCATTCTAATGGGAGAGCTGATCAATAACTAAAAGATTGATCTTTTTACAGCATTGTATTTAGTTGTATTTAGTGTCTGTTTCCCCCCAGATTTCTGTAAACATTTATTGGTGTATCTTGACACAGATTTTCCGTTCTTTGAAGTCAGCCATGTGCATTTCACTCTAATTAGTCACTGACAGTATGTGACGTGTGTAACAGCTCCTCCCATGGGACTGGGAAAAACGACTCTTCCCTGACTGACTGTCACAGTTTTATTAGTACAGAAGACAGGCTCCTGTTGCAATTTCAAGCAAAACAGAACAATTCTGCATCAAAGCAGATCTTTAACTCTCTGATCTTACAGGCTGTGTTTTTCCCCTCTGTTAAGGAATGAGGGGAAGGAGTTGTTCTCCTTTAAATTGTGGGAAGTACCCTGTCCACGTTAGTCATTGTCACATCTTGGTTCCAACCTCAAAGGAATAACCTTTTTTGAAATGTGTGACCACAGGGACTTTCCCACCCACAGGGAAACAGCTCAACTATCTTCTTCATACACCTTGTTTTGGCTTTTTTCTCACCCCTCCAGGTTAAAGAGCTGCGCGATTTGTACACGATCTGCATACAGGAGCATGTGGCCTGTCAGAAATGTTCTTTTGAAGTAAAGAGCAAAAGCACCATGTTAACCCTTCCACTCCCAGTGCTGGATGCCAATTCTCACAGGCTGAAGACTCTGGTAAGTTTAGCAGCAGCACCTTTTCCTTAGGAGATGATTCTGTTCATAGTGGATTTTTCAAATGCCAGTGGACCATTGGACCTTATAGATTCTCTGACCACTTCATACTGTTTCAGCATGAAGGAGCTGCTTTGAAAACCTTTAAGGCTTTGAAGTATTAAAAGCATTTATACAGCAGTACCTTCTTTGTGGAATATGTGTACCCCTTTTTTTCCTAACTTTTATAGTCACAGTGGCAGCTGGGAGAAATGAGGTACCTTTTGTTTCAGGCTGCAGTCTTTTGTCCTTTGAATAAAACATGCCTTCTGTAACTTTGCTGTTTGCTTGGGCCCCCTGAAATAATGTAGAAATAAAAATCCAGCTGAAGAAATTCAGTTGAAAGAAGTCTCTGTCTTCTTAGGAGGACTGTCTGCAATACTTCTTCCACCCAGAGGAGCTGACTGGACAAAACATGTGTTTCTGTCAACAGTGTGGGAGGAAAACACCTTTTCTACAGGTAATTGGAGCATTATTTCCCCATGTCTCATACTCAGAACTCCCTTGAGGACTGGGGAGGATAGGGAAAGGACTCAATCATTGGAAGTTTAAGAGGAGATCAACAGCTCAGATTTGCCAGCACGGCAGTGTCAGTGAGATAAAAACCACAGACACCTTTCCTCCTATTGGGAAGGAGGGCCTGTGGTCTGGCGTCTCAAGGAGGTTGATTTGCCTCTAGTGCTACCAGCATGGGGCTAGGAAAGCACATGAGAGGTGAAGCAGCCCTTGAGACACCCAAGGCTGGGTGCTGATGACACTAAAGCTGAGAAACTTGGATCTCACAGCTCTGTTTTGTGTGCAGATGGGTTACAAAGGCATCTGCTGTCCCTTGGAACTGGCAAATATTTACTGGAGCACTGGCTGTTCTCCATTCTGACACACTGGGTGGCAGTGGCTGTTTGTACCCCACCTCCCCCAGGGTTTGGCCCCAGTTTTCAGTTGCATTATTGATTCTTTTCAGAGCATGAAGCTCGTCCATCTGCCACAGACCCTGACCTTGCACCTGAAGCGCTTCTGCTTTGAGAGATCCTCTTGCACGCACAAGCTGAGCCACTCCCTGCCATTCCCACAAGAACTTGATCTCAGGCAAGTCTTGACAGAAAGTCAGTGCCAAGCAGATGACAGTGAAAAGGTGAGATACTCCTGTTCAAAAAGGGCAGATTTTCTTCTCCTCTCTGCTCCTTTCTCATAAAAATTTGAGGTCACACCACTACTTGTCTCAGTTCAAAGTACCTGTCTTAAAAATTTGTATCTCAAACTTTGTCTGTGCTTGGTGTTGTCTCACATCCCATAGTTTTAACTGATTCAACCATCATTCAACATTCTATGCTCAGATTAAATCATCAAAAGGCCCCAAAACTGGAGCTTCCTGCCTTAAGGACAAAAGCCAGGCTTTGCAGATCTCACCTGTCCAAGACAGGGGAATTCTGCTCTTGCTATTTCCCATGCAGTATTATTGATATTTTTGGCCACAGAGTCTGGTACTGTTGGCCACAACAGCTTTGCTAGGTAGCTGAGATGGATCTGCCCCACTGTGGGTCTGTTCCTCTTCCTGGGAAATAACAAGGGGAAGTGTGGAAACAGCAGAAGTCACCACTGCAGGGTTGGCTGTGGTGAACCTCTTTGCTGGTTCTTTGCTGCTCCTTTGCTGTCCTGCTGCCTTTTATCACAATCCTCTGGTCTCCAGAGGATGGAGGCTGCCAGCCCATAGCTGAGGGTAAGAGCAAAAAAAGGCAGGATTCTCGAGGCCAGTCTGATCTTTTTTTCCTTACAAATTGTATATCCTTGCTGCCCTGGCTGCTGCTTGTCTACAGTCCATGGCAGATGGGAATTGCTGCACTGGAAGTGTCTCTTTGTGTCTCTTGGCAGGCTACCTGGCAGTATGAGCTCTTTGCTGTGGTTGCTCATTCAGGATCAGCTAGCTGTGGCCATTACTGTGCCTACATCCGGAGGCTCACAGACTGTAAATGGTATTGCTTCAACGATTCTGAGGTTTGCCAGGTGAGCAGATCCAGCCATGTTCCCTTTGTGCCCTCCTGGACATCCCTCCAGCTCTCATCCAGTCTGACTGGTGCTGACTGAGAGAGCCAGGAAAGGAAACTGAGGCTGCAGAGCTTTGTCCTCCTCCGCTACAGGATGCTCTGGGCTGAGGGCAGAGTGACTCTCACTTCTGCACCAAACAAGGCCTCAGGTTCTGTTTTGTGTGGGACTCACATTCTCTGAACCTGAGAGAAGCAGAGAAAAGAATGATCAAAGCAATTCTCATCTCATTTGCTGCTCCTGTGTTGTGCCAAAGTAGAATGCAACATGGAGATTGTTTACCCTCAGTGATGGGGTTTTGTTTCCTTGGCCTGTGAGGGCCAAGCACATGTCCAGACTGTTGGTCAGGAGACAGTGACAAGATTTTGGGCAGTGGAGTTGGGTTGGGTGCTTGTGCAGTTTCAGTTTAGATGAGGTGTAATATAGTATAGAATAATATGATACGATATGATATAATGTAATATAATGTAATGTAATAAAATATAACATAATATAATATATCATATAACATATCATATAACATAATATCATATCAAAAATATAATATAGTATCATATATAAAATATATAATATATTATCCAATGTATAATATAATATAAAGGATATATAAATAATATAACATATAACATCATATAATATATAATATATAACATAATATATATATACTATAATATACTATAATATACTATAATATACTATATATATACAATATAATATAATATAATATAATATAATATAATATAATATAATATAATATAATATAATAAATATAATAATTAATTAGTCTTCTGATCTCACGGAGTCCTGCTCATCATTCCTCCCGCCAATTGGGTGAGAATTACACCCATAGTTTTGTGCATTGCAGAATGCAGGAGCATATTGCAGAATATTCAGGATATTTGCTGAATATCCTACTTGATGCACCCTACATCTGTTTAATGTATACTATTGATGATATTTTTGCCCCTGATGAGGGGGAGAAAATGACGAGGAGGACTCCATCTTATCAGAAGGCTAATTAATTACTTTATTGTACTATGTTATCCTGTATTACATGACACTCTATTACATTACATCTAAACTGAATCTGCCAAGCACTCAACTCTGCACTCAACTGCCCAGAATCTCGTGACTGTCACCCAACAGTCCCAACTCACACACACACTTGGCCCTGACAGGCCAAGGAAACAAAACACCATCACTCTGGGTAAACAATCTCCATATTGCATTCTTCTTTGGCACAACACAGGCACAGCAAATGAGATAAGAATTGTTTTTCCTTTCTCAGAGGTTCAGAGAATATTTCTGGGTTTCACATTCTTGGGAAGAATTGTGCTTTGCTTTTCTCTGTGAAGAGAAATGTGGTGACAGAGTACATTCAGAACATTCAGATCTGTTTTTCCTCCAAGAGTAAAAGCAATAAACCAATTTATTGAAAGGTGTTTAGTTCCTGGAAGTGCCACTCCTATGAGAACTCCTGGGATGGTATCAGAATTTGTGCATCTCCTAAGAGTTTTTACCAGCCTCCTCCTGTGTGTTTTTCTTCTCTAGGTGTCATGGGATGATGTTAAATGCACCTATGGACGTTCCAACCTCTACTGGTATGCAAATGTATCCCTGATTTTTCCTAATGCTGCTCTGGGCTTTGGAATGAGGGGAGACCAACTGGTTTGGGGACATATTGCCTGGGGTGTAGTGAGGATGCAGGAGATGTGTTAATCAGGATTTCTCCACGCTTTTTGTTTTGATGCATTGTAAGAAAATGAGCTTACAGGAGAGAGATAATCTCTCCTATAAACCAGCAACTCTTGGGAACACTGGAGAGGACCAGCTTAGTTGACCTAAAGCTCAGGAAGCTGAGCAGGAGCAATTCTGGGATGTTACCTAGAGCTTCAAACATACCTTGTGATGTGCTTTCTCTTTGTCTCCACAGGAGAGAAACAGCCTATCTCTTGTTTTACATGAAAAAGCAGCCTCAGCAGCCCTGGCCAAGAGTATCAGAATGTCTCTGACAGCTGTGCATTGTCCCTGGGGCTCAGCACCTCTGTGCCAGTGAGGACATGCACAAATGTTTCACAGGAAAGACATTCTGCACTCAGCCACCTCAGGCTTCACATTTGGAGAAAAAAGTGCAGCAGACACTCAGCCAGAGAAAGGATCTAGGAATTGTTGCTACTAGAGAACTTTTCTTTTGTGTTGTTTGTTTTTTTTTTTTTTTAATATTTATGTGACTCTACATGTTCATTTCCTCTTTAAAAGATGGTGAAGTTAGTCCTTGTCTCTGCTGCCTTACTATTTTCCTTAGTGCTGATGCCTGGATCCCATTCCAGGGGAAGTGTTTGGCCTGAAAGCCTGTGTGATGCTCCAGGGAGGTGTGTGCTATGTCTGGAGAGCTGTGGGAGCCATACAGAGCCTGTAAGAGCTTGAGATTTACTTTGTCCTTTTAGCACCATGTTAGAGGCTGGCAAGCTGGGCAGGAGACCCCAAAAATCACCCCAGAAACAGCTGGGGGAAGGATCAGAACCGTTATGGCACACACTCCTGAAAACCTCCCTGAAAATGAATCACTGCAGGGGCTGTGATGTGTCAAGAGCTGTTTTAAATCAGGAGCTATTGGAGCAGTTCTGATTCCCAAGATGAGTTTGTTTAAATTTGTGCAGGTGGTTATTATTTCAACAGGCTTATCAGGCTTTTGGATGCATTTTCTTTCCTGAAGAGGAAAATATTCAGAGCAGCAGAGATTCTGGAGCTGGTTAGTGATTTTGCACAATACAGGCCATACATGGTCATAAAGGAAGTGAGATGCTTTGATGTGCTTGATTTTTTTGGGATTTTTCGTTGTGTGGCTTTTAAAACACTCTTGCTGATCCTCTTGGATTGAGCATCCCAGCAGTTTGGGATCTGGAAGTACCTTCACCCTAGTACACTCTATGACTGTGTCTCTACAAAGGTGCTGTTTTTGTGAGATAGAGCAACTATGAAATTATATTAAAATTATATAAATTATAATGAACTATAAAACTAATATAGATATACTGCCATCTATGTATAACCTATTTTTTGTGAGGTACACAAATCATGTCCATTTTCTGAAGGTAAACTGAAAAATCTTAGAGCATAGCTGTAAAATTACTCTTTCATGGTTTAGCAGGTATTTATTTCATTGTACTAGCAAGGTCCATTAATCTGTCCAGCTGTGTATTTGTATTATTTATTCTGTGGGAAAAAAAATCCTGGTGTATTATTTGCCATCAGGATGAGGAATTTTCAGCCTGTTCACCTTCAGGAATGCATTGCACCCTTTCTAAAGCATCTTGAAATGGGTGAGTAAGAAAACAAAGTTTCTGTTTGCTTTTCCAGCACTTTGCCTCTGTGAAGGAGCTGAAAAAAGCTGCATTTTTCTTAGCTGAACTGAGAAGTTAATGGGATTAGAGAATGACATTTCTAATTATCTATAACTTGAAATTTAAAAACGTAGGCTAATGAAAAATGCCTTAAATGCATCATAACCGTCTAGGGATGTCACTCATCAAGGAAACAATTACATAGATATATTTAAGAATCTTTTCAATCTGTGAAAAAAACCCCCATTTAATTCCAATGAAAAGTAATCAGTGTTTTTTTTTTTTTTTAATAAAATATTATGGGATACATCCCTTAAAATCAATCTTGTGGTTTCTTCTTGATCTATTCTTCCTAAACACTGAATGCAGGTCAAGTATTCAGGGTATTCAGGGTTAATGTTTATCTCTAAGAGCCACGGTGTCTCACTTTGAAAAGAGAGATGTTAAGGAAGGCAGGAGCCTTCCTTGAAATGGAAAATGTAAACCCCCTCCCTCCCTCTGAATTATTGTAATTTTTGAAACTAAGAGGCTCTCAGGAAAAGATATGGGGATAGGAATAACAGTTCTTTAGCAGGAAAATCAAAAATACAAATGCAATAGTGCTGGAGATGGGCCTGGGCTCCCTCTGGGAATGCAGGGCAGCAGAAAGCTGCTCCTCTGGGAATGCACTGGGCAAAGGCTGCTGCGCTGTCCCAAACCTCAGATTGTACCCAGGTAGGAATGCTTGGCTCCTCCCCTGGGCGCAGCATCTCCCCATGGGATGATGGGATTGGATCAGCCATGCAGGGGCACTCACTGGCCATGGACAGCAGAGATCTCCTGGAGGGAGGATTGGCTGTGGGAGAGATAAAGAAAAAACTGCCTCATGAACAGAAGGTAACTAACTGCCCCACCTCTGACAGATGGCAAATAGAATACTGTCACCCTGTTTTATCAAGTTTTTCTAAGCCTTCTGATGTTTGCATTCTTGTAACGAACTTTCTCACTCCCTTTATGTAAATAACTTAATGTTTTGCATTCTTTTATGGAGGAGGAGAAATCTGATAGACTGTTGGTTTGTCCAGTGTCATTGGAGACATGGCACTGCCATACTCCCCAATCCACTGTCACTTCTGGAAATCTATAAATGTTAGAGATAAAAATTAGATACCTTCTTTTTTACCTTGAAAAAACAAACAAACAAACAAAACCACAAAACCAAAACAAACAAAAACCCAACAAAAAACCAAAACCCAAAAACAAACAAAAAAAAAACCCCTAACCAAAAAACCAAAACAACAGAATACCCCCAAACCATATCTTACAACTCAGGACGCATGGAAAACCAGCTAAACATGGACACTTCACCCTTGTGAGTTTGTTTTCAGATTTGCTGTCAGGTGAAAGCTTTAATTGCTTCCACATGGAGATGGGAGAGTGGGAAGGTGAGTGAACTGCAGTGCAAAAACTCTGCTTTAAAAACTCCTGAGCTGAGCTGCTTCTGCAGAAAGCCACCTTGGCTGCCCCTGTGTTCACAGCAAAGCCCAGCCTTGTGCTGGATGAACTGCCCAAGGAGTTATGCTCATTTCAGCCCAGTGCCTGGGGTTCAGTGCTGGTGTGCTGCTGAACAGGAGAGGGGTGGGAACCTCTCCCCAGAGCTGCTGACATAAAACAGCTCCTGGCATTTCTGCCAGAAACACTTTTCTACCAAAAAACTGCTGCAAAGGAGCTGGGATTATTTGCCCTGTGTTTGAGTCCCTGCGGAAACAAAAAGCCCAGCACCAATGGCAAGGGTTTTGAAAAGCCAGATAAAGCCAAGAGGTTGTGTTTGGAGAGATTATTGCAGATCCTGGTAACTCCTCATTTCCCTTTTTTGTTTGGTTTAGGATTACCATGCAGTAGCAAAGTACACATCCTCATCTCCATCCCTGACAGGCTCTTCCTCAGATTCAGATATTCCTCACCTTCAAGAAACACACAGAAAACCAGGAAAAAAAAAAGTAAATACATCTAATAAATGTCTCACAAAGGTATAATTTCTAAAATGTCAATATGTAATTTACAAAATCACTGAAGGACAGGGAAACAATGATTCAGAGAGTCATGGTCATCACAGGTCTCTCCTCTACATAATCCCCTTTTCTCACAAATAAGGAGAAAATGCCATGTAGGGGAATGAAATCTCTACCTATCAGCTCTGGGCACTACAATTGCTGGTTAAACCCTGCTTTCATTGCAGAATTCAGGCCAACAGACCTGATCATTTTGAGCTCAGAAATAAAATTAAAAGGGTTCTGAATGGAGTGGCCACTCATCATACAGTGGCTGAGAGCAAAAGCTATGGGGAGCCTTGAAATCAAATATATGTATATATATAAAATAAATAAAAATAATAAAAGGAATATAGAAAACTATAAAACATGGGTGCCTGGTGCTGTGGGGATGAAGCCATATTGGGAATTTAAAAAAAATTATTCCTCCTGTGGACAGGTTACTGCTTCCTCCTAAAAAAGCAGCTATCTGGCATCTTCTGGGATGTGTTCAGGACAGGTGAGATGAGAAATGGTTTTGGGGCATGTGCCAACTCCCCATATACCACTTTTCTTGCAGAAAAGCAGAGACTGAGGTTTACAAAAACCTGCACCCTCCACCAATGCCAAATTGCCATGACGAGCTCATTCAATAAATTCTTGAGGAGCCTGCAATCAGTTTTTACATTCTTCAAAGGGTGAGCTAAACCAAACTCCCTGCCTCCTCTTAGGATAGCACTTCTGCCCATATTTTCCTTGTCTGCAGCCAGTCAGCAGGTAGGAGGGAGGGGCAAAGCTGATTGTAAAGGTTTTGCAAGAGCCCACAGCCTCTCCTTGCCTGACTGCACATGGCCACTCACCTGGAGCTGCCCGCTGGTGGGAGGATGCCCATCCTGGGACTGGGGACCTGGCAGGTACCTGCTGCAGCTGGGGACCTCTGGCTGCTGGGAATAATCACAGTAGATTTTGTTCAGCATTCTCCTCTTTGGGTCAGGAGAATGCGGCAAATCCTCTGGGCAATATTTCCTTTTGAAATATCTCAGGTAATGCAGGTATTTATTCCCAGCCTTCAGGAAATCTTAGGAGTGAGTGGAGGTAGTGGAGCAGGTGCAAAATTTTTTCTTAGCTATGGAAAAAAATTACATGCTGCAAAAGTAAAAGCTTTTGCCCAGCTAATTTTTCTTTGTATTTTGTTTTGTTTTGTTTTTCTTTGTTTTGGTTTTTTTTTAATTTCAGCACTGGGTTAATATCCCAGCATGTCATGTGGGTGTCATCTGTGATGAGTGTGTGTAGATATAGGAATTTAAGGGGCAATAAGTAGTTTTGGAAATGGGAACTCACAATAATCCCTTAGAGACTTGAGGCTAACTTATTTTTATTGGCAGCAGATGAGTGTGCAGCACTTTGCAGGAATATAGTTTGGGTGGTTCTTTACCTGGAAATGCTACCTAATGGACTTTTGGTAAGAGAGAGTATGTTAAAGAATATACTGAATTATAAATGTAAAAAGAGTCTGTAAATGAGCTGAAAATTTGAAGAAACTGATATTAAGAAAGATAAAAAGATTTTAAAAAGTGACCTTTCCCCTGGATCTGAGACTGGAAACAAAATATGTCAAATCACAACTTCCCAGCTCCATGAAACACTTTTTCAGTCATCATAAAAATATCTTAAATTCCTGCCATATTTTTGGGCCATTTGATCTAAACAGCATTTAACTTGATGTGCACAAACAGGTGTGAGTTTGTTTAGACCTTTCAGTCTTTGTTTTTCTCATGACAAAGGGACACTAAGAAGCATAATGTAATTAAAGTAGGTTTTAAAAACCAAAGTGTGCCTTGGGGGGGCCTCTTAGGGCCCAGTGCTGTGATGGGGGAGCTCTCTGAAGGAACTTGTTAAGGTGCCAATAGAAACTGGTCAGGACCGAGTAGAAGGAAAATTTTGGGCACATGATCCCTGCCACCACAGAACAATGTCTTCTGTTATGCAATGAAAACAAGGCCCAAGCCCATGGTGGTAATTTCATTAAAGCTCTTTGATTTCAAGGTTCCCACAGCAGCTTCCCCTTTACCTGGCAGCTCTGACTCAAATCCGAGCTCAGTGAGCACCTGGGCAAAGTAAATAATGGATTATTTTCCCTGGAAAACATCTCACATGACAGAGTTTTGTGGAATCTCAAGGGCAGGTTATTGCCTTTGCTCACATCCAGGGAGGGATGGGATGGGGAAAGGGACTGCAAAAAAAGAAATTCTGTGAAACTTTCAACTGGCTCTTTAGTTGTGTGTTGAAAAAAATTAGTGTGTTTTCTGTGTTGTTGTTGTTAATTTAGGTGAACCAACTAAATGCCCTTTGACTGGAAAAACTTGGAGTAGTGATATAATTTAAAAAAAGAAAAAAGTAGGAAGCTGTTACTGTCATATTTTTTGAAAAATCCCTTTGCTAAGATTTCTTCTTCTGGGAATCTGAGAAGCTTCAGCTTCTCCTCTGAAATGTAATTTAAAAAATTGAAAAATTGTTTACCCAGCATGTGAATTATTTTTAATTAATGGTGAATCACAGCCAGCTGTTTTGGACTCTCTGAGTCTGTCACGACTTTTTTTTATCATTCTTGTCTAACCTTCTAATGTCTCCTTTCTCTTTCTTTAGTATAGCTTTAGTATATTATTTTCATATCATATCATAATAAATCAGCCTTCTAAAAAATATGAAGTCAGATTCATCTCTCACCTCATCCTAGAGACACCCCCAGCACCACAACAATTAATGACCACAGGAGGTGGTCGTGGCTTTGAATCATGTTTCTGTTTGGAGTGCCATTTTCTGGATTCAGTCATCAAAGAGCTCTGTGGTGTCTCCAAGCCAAGAATCTCAAGTGGTTTATTTTGCTATCAGGTACCAAGTGTGTGTTTTACCCAGGAGGTGGCACTGTCTGTAGTGTTTTGAGTCCCGTCACCTCCCTGTCCTGTGTCAACAAGAGCTGGGTTGTTTTTGTGCAGGGCCAGCATTCCAGAGGTGATTGGTTTCCTCATGTCACCAGTATGTCACACTAAAGTTGCTTTTAATTTCTGGGGAAATTAGAACTTATTTCAAGATAGCCTCGTGTCCCAGGGTGAACTTCCAATACTTAGAAAAAGGGTGGATCAGCTTAGGCACCTCATCAGTGACTCCCTTTGCCATTTGATCTCACAAAACTAATGAAAGCCAGATCCAGGCTGGTGTTGGAATCCTAAATGCTGAGAATTTTTAACTTTCTGTGCTTAATGGCACAGACCCTCAAGAGAACACTGCATTTGACCTGAGGCTGTGGAGAAGCTTCCAAAATCGATTGATAGCACTGGGATTACAGGGGTGTGTAGTTGGTTAGAAGTGTGTGATATCACAGGGTGGAAAACTTAAGAATTTGGAGTTTTAGAATATAGTAATAAATATGAAGCAAGACAGAAGTTTTAGGGCAGAAGCAGGTTGTTCTTCTTCACCTTCTTCTTCATAAGTTTGGGTGATATTTTGTAATTGAATAGAAAACTCCACAGTGCGGACTTCGAAGAATCAGTTATTGGGTTAAAAAAGAAAATAATTTAGCTATCATTTCTTAATTAGATAGTTTAGTCCTAAAAGGCCTTGTAACAAGAGATAGCAAGCCATTAGCAAGCCATTTTGTGCCTTGCTAATAAAAGACTACAGAACTCACTACGGTGAGACTATAACATAAATAAAAACAATAAACACATAAAGCTAAACAGATAAATAATAATAATAAACACCTAAATCTAGACAGAAACTATCATCTCAAATACCTTAAATCTTAATGCCAACAAAAAAACCCTCAAAAAACAACAAACAAACAAACAAACAAAAAAGCCACAGCTGAAATATCTCATTTTTCTGGGGGCTTAAAATTGCCAGATTTCAGAACAGCAAAGCTCTTAATCTGCTATTTAGCAAATCACTGGCTTCTCTTCCGGTTTCAGTCTCTGCAGGGGGCAGCCAGGGATGCAGTGAAGTTTGCCATCGACGTGGGGTACCGGCACCTGGACTGTGCCCACATGTACCAGAACGAGAGCGAGATCGGGGACGCGCTGCGGCAGAAAATGGAGCAGGGCGTGGTGAGGAGAGAAGAGCTCTTTGTGGTCAGCAAGGTGTGTCTCACATGGGGCCAAGCCCAAAGTCCCACCATGGAAAGTGCCATGGGATGTGTCGGAACCCAGGACATTCCTCTGGCTGCCCTGGAGGACTCCAGACCCTGGCAGGGGCTCAGAGACCTTGGCACAGAGTCACAAACACCTGTGCCTTTGATTTTAGCCCATGGAAACAATTACCAACTTTGTGTGAGGAGTTACAAGCCACAAGGGTTTGAGTAGAATGATAGTGAATTTGTCACAGGGTGAAAAAGTAGAATTTTGGGTTTTCTTAGAATGGGGGTTCAGGAGACAAGATGGAGAAATCTGGGTGTGCCCTGTCTTTCTCCTTCTTCTTCTTGTCCTCCGTCTTTTGCTGTGATAGTGACAGTTTTGGATTGGTTTAGAGCAGAGACAGACTGTCTAACATAGGTGATAGGTATTGGAAAATTATTGTAAATAAAGTACAGGTAGTTTTTAGTATAAAAAGATAACACCACCCTGAGGGTGGTCAGTGTGCCTCAACCCGACCTGCTGGACAGATCTTGGCAGGTTGGAGAAAGAATATTACAGATAAGAGAAAAGAAACGACCTTGAGAATGAGAGCCAAGGAATCCTGTCTTCTTCTCCAGTCTTGGAGCTGGGAAAAAGAGACTTTCCAATGCCTTAGGGCCATCCCAACACCAGACACCCCATCAGGGATGAAGCTGGGAATTACCTCCTCTCAGTCAGGGCAAAGCAATCAGTGGATGGTGAGGGGAAGGGATAGGTCACCCCCTGAGAAACAAAAGGCTGGGTTTGAGAGGGGTTTTTTTGTAGTCCATGTCCATTGTCAGCCATGGAGACAGGAACTGAGGCCGTGCTCCTGGTGGCCTCTGGGATAGGAAGCAGGGCTATTGTTTTTGTGATCACTCCTGCTGTGCTGCCGGCCTCAGCCTGTCAACTCCTGTATGTTATGCTTTGTTTTGTTTTTTCCCCCAACAACAATGGTAGGAAAAATAAAGTAACTTCTATCTGCTGGAAGCTGGTGGGTCGATTTTCACCAGGTTCACTTATTTTCTTTGTTTTAATTGTTGCAATAATTGATGGAATTTCAGAGTATCTCTTTCTCATTTTAGTTACTTAACAGTACCACAAATAAATTGAGGTGCCTCGAGTGGCTCTTCCTCAAGATGAGAAATGTGCCACACCCTGAGCTGCCTCTGTGCCCTGTGTTTCCCTGCCAGGGATGCTCTGCCACCATGAGGGCAGGAGTGCAGCTCCCAGGCTTTGTGTTTCCCCACAGCTCTGGTCCACCTTCCACGAGAGATCCCTGGTGAAGGAGGCGTGCCAGAAAACACTTGCTGCCCTCCAGCTGAATTATCTGGATCTCTACCTGATGCACTGTCCCATGGGATTCAAGGTATTGCAGCTTTAAGTCCCAGGATCTGTCTGTCAGGGCTCTGCCCCTTTTGCCTTTGGGACCAGACATCTCTTTAGTCCTCTCCAAGGAGGAGTGTTGGTAAATCTCATTAGGGCATAATGATAAACCTCTGCAGGGTGAGCCCAGGAGGAAAGGAAAGGTCATGGCTGCTTCAACTAGGTTGGTCTTGTAATACAAAAACCACCTTATTTTTCCCTGCACAGCATTTTTAAGTCATGGATCAAATTAACACCCAGATCACATTCCTCTTACAGTGTGGGGTTTGGCTGCCATTTCCTTATCAAGAATCAAACATGTGAACTACTTAGTTCAAAAGAGGTTTTTTTCTTCTTTCTCTACCCCCAGGTTAAATAAATGCTGATTTCCCCACCGTGTCACCTCCCTGGCCTTCTCCCAACCTGAGGCACACAGAAGTGCCTGCAGGACAGGGTCACAAGAGACAGGTTTTCCTGAACATTTCTCTGTTGATACAGGCTAGTTGTTTCAGCCATGTCTCACCCCACCACAAACATAACTCAGGAAACTCAGGATATCCATCTCACTCTCTCCGGCTCCACTTGCTTGCCCAAATTTCTAAATGATTTCTTGAAGCACTTCTAATTCAGCTGACCTTCATGTTGCTTTTCCTTTTGTGCTGCTAGGCAGGAGAGGAGCTATTTCCTGCAGATGGAAACGGCATGATCATTCCCAGCGATACAGATTTTCTGGATACGTGGGAGGTACATTCATTTACGGGCCAAAAATATCTTGCTAGTTTGAAATAACAGCCTGAAAACTCTAAGCTTTCCACTGTGGGAATTGTTCTGAGAGAATTTCTAACATAAAGTATTTGGGATTGCTGATTTCTCCGCGTCCTTGGGCTCCTTTTTGTGTCACTGTGCCAAAATTTAGGTATTTTTATATCTACTGCTTCCTAAACTGGCTGGGTTGGCATGACAAGAGGAAATCTTTGACTATGTGTGTACCCTGCAGTGGCTTGAGCTAACTAAAGGCTGTCTCTCTCATCCCTACCCCACTCTGGGCAATTTTTGGTGGCTTTAGTTGTAGCCATGCTTTTACCTCCTGTTGTACCTGAACTGTCCAGACCCTGGCAAAGCCAACATGCCTGTGCCAGTGTACCACAGCACCCAAATTTCTGTCTCTGGAAGAAGTGGGAGTTGGCCAAAGTCCTTGGCTAAGCTCTGTGTGCAGCACAGGCTGCCTGGGAGGCCAAGCTTGGCTGTGAATTCAAATTTCTGCTTGGCTGAGACTTTGGCCTTCCTTTCTCTTCCACTCCTGTGTGCTCAGCACAGCCAGGCCAAAAGCAGGTAAGAAACTCACCAGAGTCAGAAGAATTCACTGGTGCTTTTTGCCTTCTGTCAGGTGAAGAATAAGGCACATTTTTGTTGCTTATTTGAAGGGAAAAAAGTGGACATTTCAGGCTGCTGCTTATGACAGCAACTTTAAACTAAAATTATTTCTGCTTTGGAGCGAGGCTATCTTCTGCTCTAAAGGCTGCCAGCAGATTATTTTCCCATTTCTTTTCTGCTGGATGTGACAATCTAATTAGGGCTGTCTGGCTGTTTTATTGCTCCTTAGTGTGAAAGAAAATAGGTGATGGAGGGGGAACACAGTGCTGCTTATCCTATAATCCAACTGCTAAATGGTACATCTCTCTTGGGAAATTAATCAGTGCTGATCACCAGTATCCATCCTGTTCCAGATGTCTTGTGACAGCTCCTCGTTGAGCTGCTCTGTTGCAAAGAAGGTGCTTTTTATTATGGGATGGTTATTTGGTTAGCTGAGGAATTACTCTAAAAGAATCTCTTTCATCTGTGTGAAGGTCTGCCTGGGGATAGTATTTCAAAATAGTCATATTTTACTGAAATAATAATAGTTTAGGAGTTGTGGGAATATTGCTGTTATTCATCTGTATGGTGACACAGAATGTGAGATCTGAGTCTGACCAGAGCCCCACTGTTCAGGTACTGTTCTCACAACACAGCACTGGAAGATTTTTACCAATCAAGTTTCTGTGTGGGTATTTTTTCCATACAAAAATGAAAGAACTTAATAGGAAGTGTGGTTCTGTGGTGTTTCTAGGCTATGGAAGAGCTCGTGGATGTGGGAATGGTGAAGGCTATTGGAGTCTCCAACTTCAACCACAAACAGATCAATCAGCTCCTGGGCAAACCAGGCTTAAGACACAAACCTGCAAACAATCAGGTAAATTGTCCTGCAGCTCCTCAGCACTGACACCACACCTGTCTGGGCTGTTGCACTGGATGGAACATCTCTTAAAAGTTCCTTAAAAACCCCACATCTGCAAAAAGAACCACCTTTTCAAAGCTGATGTGGCACAGAGATGCTAAACCTTGAAGTACCTTCTGCTTCTGAGAGGTGAAAGATAATTTTTTTCTTTTTTTTTTTTTTGAGATTGAGAGCCACCCCTATCTTCCTCAGGAAGAGCTGATTAAGTTTTGCCAATCCAAAGGGATCTCTGTCACTGCATATTGTCCCCTTGGAGCACCCAACTGGCCAGGGTAAGAATGTTTTGTGAGATTTCTTTCTCAGATGTAGATTGGAGTCAATGCAATAAACCAGTCTTAGGATGAAACCTCTGAGAAAAACTACTGTAATCAGAAAAAGACTCACTAATTAATTAAAAATCACACCCACAGAAACCTCACACTTATTGTGATATTCAGTCCACTAGTTTCATATTTTGAAGAAAAATGATCAATTGGCTGATAAAAGCAGAGAATAGAATTCTCAACTGAGCTTTATTGAGCTTATTAAACATGTAGGAGAATTTCTGAACTAAAAAAAAAACCCACCCACAACAAACCAAACAAAAAACCAAAGCAGCAGATGCTTATGGAAATAGCAACTTTGCAGTCCTGCTGAGACAAAGGGATTAAGTCTGTAAATGGGGAAGCTGCAGAAATTTTGCTTTTACTCCCATCCTCATGGCTTTCTCTGACCTGGGACAGGGCTTTTGCCAGAGCAGCTGTGCTTGTAAAGGACAAGATGAAATTCTTGGGATCTGGATCAAAGAAATTCCCAGCCTGATCTCAGGCTGGACACAAATGTGTTATAGTGACCTGTTTTTACTAGAAACTACAGGCTTCTTCTCATGTGTTCACTTGTTATAAAAGGGAAGAATGAAGACAGGAACTGAAGTAACGAGATATTAAATTAAAGCGTGCAAGATTATGCTTTTTAATAATTTAAACAATAATCTTGTGATACAGGGCTTGAGGGAGAAGATAGTGAGTTATTCAACTACTGAAGCCTGGTTTGTTTTTTTGTTTTTTTACAGGTCCAAGCCTGACCATATTTCCCTTCTTGATGATCCTCAAGTTAAGGAAATTGCACTCAAGCACAACAAAACCCCAGCTCAGGTTAATACTGGTCAGAGTTGTTTTCCCTGCTGACATGTATTCTTCCCACTTGTGCTAAAGTAACTACTTACAGAGGTATTATGGAATAATAATATGGAGTTCCAACTGTGCCTTGTACACAGTTTAATGCTTTAGAGAAATAGTCTCTCTACCTGAGTTTTAGTGATGGACAGAAGATTACAGTGGCTTTGGGCTTTACCTAGCACACTGGCTGCCTCTCCACACAGCATCCTGCCAATCCTGAACTCTTGCTCAATGCACTCCCTTGTTGTCATCTGAGCTTCAGAGATGGATGAGGATTTAATGAGCTCATGTAGTAATTAGGAAGGGTTTAAGTAGTGCTTCTCCTCTGTGAGCCCTCTCTGGTTACCAGTAGAGCTGCTCTGTGTGACCAGGCAGACACCTTTGGTTTTCAGCTTTCAGAGGACAGGCAGCACTTCTCATCTGTAAATTCCCTATGTGCTCCTGCAGGTGCTTATCCGGCTCCAAATCCAAAGAAACGTGAGTGTCATTCCTAAATCCGTCACTCCTCAGCGTATTGAAGAAAATTTTAAGGTAAGAGGGCACCTTAGAGAGTCCTTAATGGTGTTAAAGTACACAGGAAAAAACCCCACTCTGCCAATGGTACAAACCACACTCCTCAAACTTAGAGCTGCCAAAACCTTCGTCAGATCTCACGTATATAATTACTTCTTTATGAATGCAAAAAGTCACTCTGAAAGTAAAGAGCCATGTCCTCATTAGAACACATCAGGTAAGAGCCAAACTCTTCCACCTTGTGGTACAATTTTGCTGCAGGCAGAGCCCACCAGCACTGTAACCTTACATATTTAATCACTGTTCTCCCTGCATGGGTGTTCCCTGCACACCTCCTCCTAGTGCTTCAGCCTGCTTCTGCTCTTCTTCCTGCAAATAAACTTCCTTGTCCCACTGCAAACTGAATTAACCCAGCTGTTTGGGACCTTCATGCAGGTGTTTGACTTTGAGCTGACTGGAGAGGAGATGGAGACCCTCCTTGGTTTCAAGAAGCGCTATCGCATCTGTGCGTTAAGCCAGTGAGTACCTCCTCCTCCTCCTGCAGGCTTCAGCAGGGCTGGATTTCCACTGGATAGCTTGGATTATCTCTTAGATAGATTGCCTCTTAACAGACACTACCTGATAGCCCCTTAAAAATAAAAAGAGAGGGAGGCTCAGCCAACACCTGGTCACATCTGCTGGAGTCTCACCCTTGGTTTATCAGAGCCCGCCCTGTCCAGGCTGGGAACGCTGGGATATCTGTAGGCACAATGTTCCTAAGATGTCCTGTACTGGATGCATACCAAACTGATGTCTGAAAATCAAAATCAGCTGGAAATTCCAAAAATAAATAAGCAGCCATTTCCCCCCTCCGTTTTCTTTGGCTCCTTTACATAAGGGACAGTCAGAGTAAATAAACTCCATTTTAAGAATGAGAGTTGTAGGTGTTTTTTGAAGGGAAGAGCTGTGCCTATGTACTCCTGCCAATGTTATCTAGATAACAGAATGGTGACAGACTCACCAAGATCTGCATTTTATTCAGTTTTCCCAGGTTATCCACTTGTCTAACAGCACCCTGGGGGCTTGGGAGTTTCCAAGAGAAAGGTTTAATATCTCAGGGAACTTTGGCAATTTCAGCTGAGCATTAAGATAGATTTTCCTTTGAGAAGGAGGTCACTGATACATGTGAAGGTTACAGAGAATTCACTTTCCCTGCCCTGGATACACAAAGCAGACATGTGTTTTTAATGTAGTTCAGTTTCAGTTCTTCTACCAGGGAAAAAACCCCCTTGTCTTAAACTATATCCTTAAAATGTTTTAATCATGCTCTCTTTCTCTAGATGCAAAAATCACAAGGACTATCCTTTTTTAGAAGACTGACAGAGACATCAGCTTCAGATCCTCTGGAGGATCCAGACCATTTATTGTTATTTCAAGCAATTTGCAATACTTTCTGCATTAAGTCATAGATAGAAGGGGAATATGTATTTAAAAATGGGAGAAGGTAACTCACAGATATTCTGAAGAGTCATCTTTGAACATGGATACATTTGCTTCGCTTTTTATCAACCAGTTTTCCTTTATCTGCTCTTGTAACACGATTTTCAGTTGCAGCAAAATATATATTCTCTCATAATTTAGTAATGATAATGAGGTTTAATAAAGCCATAAATTGGGATTAGAGAAAAGCATTTTCTGTCATAAATATAAATCCTGACTAAGTTTAGAGAAAATATAAGTTCTCTGATTAGTTATACTTTTGGACAAGAGGTCAATACATCTACTATTTTAACTATCACTACAAGACAGTCCATTTAACATCAGAAGATCTCAATGACATGACATGCTGCTTGAAATGCTGAGTTCAGTAATTTCAGTGTAACAGACTGAAAGCTCTTTAGAGGACACTGCTGAATTATGATTCAGGAGCTCTTTTCTTAATGAGGTTTCCTATTTATGAACTGCTGAAAGCTAATAAACTACTAGGACACTTGCATGTTTGGTTTATAGTATCTGCAAGAGTATATAAATACTGCCTTTATCAGTAGAATGGCTGCAGTTGAGACTGAAAATCTCCTAGAAAATCCAAAGTCTGATAAAGGAGACACACAGGAATTATTTTGTTTGGCAGCTATCATATTTAGCAAGCAGAAAAGCAGGGCAGCTTCACAGGAGCCAACAGCAGATTTTCACTCTCCTGTACTGTTCCCTAGGTACTGTTTGCTTGTGTTTTGACTCAAAGGATGTCTCTAGATGCTGTTGCTTCTGGTTAAAAAAAAAAAAAAAAAAAGTCAGTGCTGCTGCAGCCCATGCTGGTGTTTTAATGAGACATCTGTTAATTAAGACTTGCTCTTTAACAATTGACTCAAAACCCCTGTACTTGCTTTAGGCTCTTGCAGATCAGGACAAGAACAATGTGGCTCAGCACTGCAGGCAGAGAGAAGGACAATGTGGAATTAAGGTTCAGGACTAGGATGCACACTTTATGGAGATCCTTTTCCAACTGATTTTCTTTGTAGTTAATAAAGGAAGTGATGACATATCTTTGAGCTACTTCAGGCTTTTCCAAGATGTTTGAATAACAGGTACCCTAGAAACAACAGAGCAAACTCTGACTTCCCACAGCAACTCTCCTAAAGAAAGGTCTGAAAACTCTACCAGGAATTGACACTGAACAGTTATACTGCAGTGATATGGACAGGAAGGTGCCTGTAATGGGCATTTTGTTTTTTTTCTCCTCCTGAACACGCTACATTTACAAGGCCAGTTGCAGGATATCCAGTTAGAAAGTGAACTCTGTGGAAGGTGCTCTGCTGCCTGTGGTCACTTGTCAATCCACAGCACTGGCAGAAATCCCCACTTAAGGCTGAAGCATACAGCCTGTCTTGAAATATTCTCTACTTCATAGGAATTTTCTAACCACATTCCAATTTAATCACAGCTATCAGACTTGAAGCTATTTACAGGATGTTTATAGACTGTGGTAGGCAGGAAGTCAGACTAGATGATCACAGTAGCCATATAATAGTAAAAAATTCAAAACAAGTTAGAAGCCAGAGATTGTGCATTTGTTTCAGAGACAATAGATCTTTTTCAGCTGCAGAGACTTTAGTAAAGGTAAAAGGAGAAGAATTTGGGTGGTGTCAGCTGCTGGGAAATAAAGCCCCCCTGTTTTGCAGCAGAACCACAGCCCTATTTACAACGTGCCTTTCTAGAAGAGAGTTGCTGCCTCACAGCAAGCACAGCCCTGAGCCTGCTGCCAGGAGCTGTGTGGAAAGGTTTATAGTATCCCAAGTTAATTTTCAGTTTCTATCAGCTGTGCAGCAGTGCTCTTGCACCAAACCCACACATACATCATTCCTAGTCAGCAGTGACATTATCTGAGCCCAGTAAAATGAAAACACCTTAGCTTAGCATTTTGTCTTTGTATCCCAACACATTGTCCCATGACTTCAGCTTTTTATTGTGGAGTTCATCCATTCTGGTAGAGTCAAGCCTCATGAAAAGTTCCAAAAGGGCTGGATGAAAAAAGTAAAGTGTTATGTCTGTGTTTTGGAGGGAAAACTGGACAACACAGGTAATGAACAACAGGTAAAAATCCCAAACTCTTTGCTGATCATTGCTGCTCAAGTTCCCCATCTATCGGAATTCCAAGTTCTCTCATATTGTTCAAAACAAAACTGAATGAGAAGCCAAAGACTGTCAGATACAAACCTACTTCATGAACTTTTTGCATTCACTCCTACACAAGAAATACTGCTCCTTGCCTTCCTCTGAATTTAAAAAAAAAAAGACAGAAGACTGATTAGGATAATCAATGGCCTAGGAGTAATTTATACAGATGGCAATTAAGATTTTCCTTGATCTGACACCAGTAAAAGGAGCTGTGCCAGATGTTTATCAAACCTGCAAAAACAGGCCACTTATTATTTCCTCCACTTTAAAAATCAGCAGAATCAAATTAATCTATCAGCAAATCAGCCCAAAACAAATAAGAGATGGCAATTCTTCAAACTGTGAGTGTGAAGCATCATTCCCTTGGAACCTAACAGGTTCAGAAGGTAACCTAACAGCAGAGTGTTAACTGATGGCTGTTAAACATAAAAGAACAAGCTGCTGTCAGAATATTTAAATAACACTTTGCTGCAATGCTCAATTTACTCATCTTTAGCAACTGATTTTGACCACAGCTGGAGACAAGATGCTGCAATATGTAGATACTTAGTCTGATTCAGTTCAGCTGTTCTTATGAGCAACTAGCAGCTGGCTTGTAATCAGGCCTGTTTCAGTTTAGCAAAGTTTGATTTTGCAATCAGCTTTTATTTTTTTTCCTTAAGAATTTGAGGGGAAAATGGAGTTTTGCAGCTGTTTGCACTCGTGGTTCTGTATCATGCACTTGAACAAGTTAAAATGCAAGAGCAATGTGGCCTATTTCAGGGTTTTAAGAGCTGCCTCACAGCTAAAATAAACAAGGTCCTGCCAGAATAAGACAGGGCTCTGTACTTTTAAGGAAACCAAGGACAAGGCAGAGGGAGGGATGACAAACAGTGACTGACAGTTTGTAGGTGACATACTAGGGAATTATTAAGTGACTGAAACAAAAATAATTTATCCCAAGGTAACTGTTCTGTGCCCCAGTTAAGCAAAAGACTCCAGATTTCTAGCTGAATCTTCAACACAGTGAATACCAATTTAAATCCAAAGACAGGATTTTCTCTTCCCATTTTGAATACTGGAGTTTCCTGTGCCCCAGTTTTCACAGTTGAAAACTGAAACAAGTGCATTCCATAGCATTTGTGCAGTCCTGTGAGCTGAGCAAGAGGAGTCCTGTCTCCTTTCTCCCTGGGGGAAGCAAACACCAAGTTAGAGAGCATCATTTGAAAAGTGATTTCAGCCAGGCAGGCCTGTGTATTTGTGTCCCAGTACCAGAAGTAAAGCTATTTTCTCTCAAAGGAACATCAACTGCAACCTGAAGCAAACATGATGTCAGACTATCTGTGCTGTCCTACCTTCAACCAGCAAGATGCCAACTCCAAATTATTGTATTCTCCTCTACTACACAAAAAACCTTGCAAAAACAGTATCTTGCCTTCTCTAATGAGATAATTGCTAATTTTCTCTACCTGTTTTCCCTGATAAATCAGTTCACCATCATTCCTTGCTACCAAGTAAATGCATTTGTCCTGTGAGACCCATTTTCTCCTACACATGAAATAAAATCCTGCTAATCTGGTGTCATTTGGAGCAGTGAGTACAGCTGGAAGTGAAACAGATTTTGTGCAAGTACTGCTTTTACCAGTTTCAAGGACAAGTTTTTTTTCTGTTAGCTGCTCCTAATCTTTCCTGTAGGCTGGAAATCCTCTTCCCAGGGTGTGCCACAGGATCACACCAGCTTAGCTGCTGCAGCAGAGTCCCCAGAATGTCTAGGAAGAGGCCGACAAGGTGGAGCTGAACTACAAGTTCTTAAATTAAGAACACAAAACAAAACAACACCAACTTTTCATTGGAAGAGCTACAAGACTGTATTTGTCCTTAAAAAGGCTTTGATCAGAAACCCAGAGATCTGTCAAATCACAATACAAAAACAAATGCTGTGAACAGTTTCAGCAGGAAGAGCTCAGCTGGCAGCAATGCTGAGCTCCGGATACTGAGCTCTTTGATCTTTCCACTTTACCTTTTAGGAGATGAAAGGAAATCTCTGCTCTTGGAGACAGAGAGAATGGCACAAGCATGGGGGTACAACAGCCTCTATTTTACTGTAATAATTCCTAGATCAACCTAGACTAAAGGAAGACTGCCCCTTCCTCCATCTCAGCCTTAATTATATGCTTGGAGAAGCAATCCAAACCCATTAAGGGTGACAGGGTTTCCTGTCACTCCCTTCCCAAGCTGACAGCAGCCTGCTTTCTGTTCAAGCTTGTGCATCATCATTACCCCTGCACTCAGGTGCTTCTCTGCTTTCCCTCTATTCCCACTCTGACACTTCAAGCTCCAAGCCCTCTGCCGGCTAAGTGCTGCACTGTGCTCCAGAACGACCCTTCCAAATTCCTTCCCACTAAGTCATGCAGTGAAATACAGAGAGAGCCTGTTACAATGCCACTCCACCCCAGTGCTCTCCCTTCTGCTGTGGAGCAGTCTGTCTCCAGTAAAATTCCTACTTCCAGAATGGAAAATTTCATTTCAAACTTCCATAAAGCTGCAGTGAAATGAAAACAGAGGAAGCTAACAGAACCTGATGTACTATTTTGGGAACCCTGACCCTCAATGTAACTTCTTGCCAGAACACACTTGTCACAAAAAATGTTATTTGCAAGCAAGTAAACATTGCCCCAAACAGTTTTCTGCCACAGCTCAGACTAAGCAAAGAACATCACATCTTCTGGCTTTTTAGATGCCTCAGGGCTTTTGTTTATCACATTAGAGATTCCCAAAAACACTTGCAGAGCTGAAGCTTTCTGTATGTGCTTTTAAGTCCAGAATTTAAAGTGATTTATAATCAATTTATATTAGAAGAACCAGCATTAGAGGAGCATATTGCTTCAAGTCAGACACTGATTCTTTCCTTCTCATATTTTAAGTTAACTCAATCTTGTCTGTTCAGCCTATTGTAAATTATTGTGACCAAAACCATGTTGCATGCTAATTCTGGTCTTAGCATTACTGGAAAGATCTTAAAA